GGGGTTACAACTCTCGCCTTCTGACCATGGTTACCCAGGTTTGAATCCCGCCTTCGAATTTCACTGCATTTCATTTATTTCTCCCCTTCTCCCTTCAATTTCCACTTTCTTCTCCACGTCGCCAAGCAGAGTTCTTGCCGCAAACTTCTCATTTTACTATGTTTTACTCTCTCTTACCACAGACAACAACTTCCTTTCTCGCCTTTCTCATTCACTTTTGTCCGCTACGGTCTCTCCCTTCAACGTCTTTACAGCTGCAGCAGTAAGTAGTGGGACTTGTTCAATCCCTGTGGAGATACATACAAGCCTGCATTTTTGTGTACACAGACTTGCACTAAGCGAGAAATTGCTTGGCTGTTTCCCCCCATCCAGCTTTGGATTGTCTGTTTGCGACAGCTGATAAAACTGCGGTTCCTCACTACTGGACTTCTGAATTTCCCAAGCAAGGATCGATTCATTGTCCTGAAGTTTTTTTTTGTTGTTGTTATGACTTGCCTAGTAGTATTGCTTCCCAGGTTTTTGCTCATGAATGCTTATTGTGAAATCAACATCATGTCCGACATATTGACCAAGTTCTGGAAACAATATTTTGCTCTTTAAGTTGACTTTTACAAATACCTCTGTTTACATTATGTTGGACTACTTGTATAGAGATATCTACCAACCTTCTTACCCAGGAAGTTAACTTCGTTTAGCCCATTCTAAATAGGGAACACACAGCATTCTTATAGAACATTTGTTCACTAGCATTTTAAGTTTAATCTGGCCGATACCGAGCATTGCCTTTCATATTTGGTACAGTGTCTGGGTTATTCATAAAATTATTGTTACAACAGCCGCAATGCAGAATAATTGCCGGTTTTGTTTTTTTACGAGATTTTCTACATGAATCCTTTGCATGATTGATATGTGGGGTTTAACGTCCCAAAACCACCATATGATTATGAGAGACGCCGTAGTGGAGGGCTCCGGAAATTTCGACCACCTGGGGTTCTTTAACGTGCACCTAAATCTGAGCACACGGGCCTACAACATTTCCGCCTCCATCGGAAATGCAGCCGCCACAGCCGGGATACGAACCCGCGACCTGCGGGTCAGCAGCCGAGTACCTTAGCCACTAGACCACCATGGCGGGGCCATGAATCCTTTGCAGGCTTAACTACACCTGCCTACCAACTATTCAGCCTGCATTAATCATTCCATAAAAGAAGAGTTCCTTTTTATCCAACCAAAAATTGTTTTAGACGTCCTTGTTCCAAACACTTCTGAGCACTTAAGACCCCCTTTACCGGGCTCTATTATCACCAACTTTTCACTTTCATCTTACTGAATTACATCAGTTGTACAATCTCACAATTTATTCGTATTTGTTTTTCTTCATCCAATGTTCCCTAAGCCTGCTAACATTTATGTTTCCTAAGAGTACTTTACATCTAGTCCCATTTCCCTTAAATGTTTTTGAGGTCTAAGGGTAAATGAACTGATAAAAAAATTACACAATGCGAAGGTCAGAAATTTAAGATTCTTCCAACACTTCCATCACTGTAATTCAACAAACTTAAAAAATATCAACTTGAGAAAACCGTTTATTGTGTATACAGTAAAAAAGTAATCAGATCATTAGTAAACTGAACAGCATCAGCCAACAACAAAATCATAATTTTAAGTGACTAGTCACTAATAGGCTGCGAGAGATTTGGGCCTTCGTGACTATTACATAAACATTACAACTTGATCAAACAAACATTCTAAGACTAGGTGCAGCTAGCATCAATACAAATGTTGTGTAATATAAGCATAATTGCAAAACATGCATCACAATACATCGAGGTTACCAGAGATTGCTTCTCAATATAAAAAAGTGACCCTAAAGTCCAGATATTCAGAAGCCGCCACAAAGTTCGGTTTGACCTTTGCAACTAGTTGCCTTTTAAGAGACAAGTAAACCTAAACTTTCTGGATACAGAAATACTGAAATGTTCGCACTGGACACATCAAGGAACTCTTGGAAAATACTGTACCTGTCAAGCGCTCGTGACCAGTGACAATGCCCTATCACAAAACAGCAATACAACCTGTGAGCGACAGACCATTCGTAAAATGTGGGTGCAGAAAACTTGGCAACAGATGTGTCAACCCTACAAAACACTTCAACAGTGGCACTAGACCTAAAAATCATAGCACTATAAAAAAAACGAAGTGACAAGCACAAAACAAAGACTTTGGTGGTGCAGAAAGTATGCAACATTCTAACAAATACACACACCAAATGAATGCAATTCAATCAACTTTTTTTTTTCAACGTAAGTTGCTATTGTTCACATGACTTTGGCACAGCCAATCAACATGATGTTGACACTCATACCAGAGAATGCTGCACAAACTTCCTGATCACAAAATTTATGCAGTGACTAGACGACATTAAGACTTGACCAAGAACGTCCTTTTTTAATGCAAATTCATAAACGAATGATAGCAGATCTGCCTTCAGAAAGTGAGCATCATGCATAGTCAGACGAATGGGCCAGGGCCTCCTCTATTTTTTCAAAGCAGACCAGACGTGCCTGATCCAGCCGTTCACCACTCCCTCCTCTAGCCTTTTCCTGCTTCCGCCTATCGCCCAGCGTTTGCGTGTGCTTTGCAGTCATGGGGGAGAGAACCCAACATGTGGTGCCTCAAGATGGAAACCTTATAAAGTAATTTCTTGTTCCATTGTGTTCAGATCGGTGGGGCGGCATCTTCCATTCTTCATGTTCACAATGTTGGCGGTCACGCTGGCTTAGCAAGAGATATGTTTTGAGACAGCATGTCGACGTTCATAGCGCTTTGCGGGCAATGGCAAAGCGTCTCTGTAACACTGCTGCTTGCACGGAGTTAAGGAGCGCTGTGAAGCAGTGGCGGCATAGCTTTGAGCGACAAAGAAGGAAAATGAAGGAAGAAATTTGACCGACACATGATATAGGAGAGGGAAACACGTCAATCGCACCTCTGTGGGAAAGCACTCGGACGCACATGTGATAAAAGCAGCCCTACCTTACCTGTGGCATCGCATCACAACTACTCCCTGAACTAAGGCGGACTGACGGCTTCCATTGAGGAATGCGCATTTGCACTGGCATTAAAAAAAATAAAGGAGGTTTTGAACAGGCATATAGAGTTGAAATGAAGCACATGCCACTTGCCCACATATAAGGGTTAAAAAGTTTGGTTTAAAACAACCCTGCTGGTGCCAATCACTACTAAATATGAAACAAAATGCAGCATGTGTACTCTAAAGAAAGGTAGGCATGGCCACAGCCATATCCACTTTTAAAGGAGTACAGACACAAAATTCTGAGAGAAACTTTTGGGAAAGACTTGAGAATATACACACACTACATAAGAAATGCAACAGATAATATATAGCCTACAACATTTTTAAAATCAATATTAAAGTGCATGACACACCACTGCAAGCGAAATGATCCTTTGGTTTTCGCGTTAACAAACCAACCGCCACCTATGTCACGAGTTTGTATTGGCTGCCATGATCTTTGCAAGCACTCTCTTTTAGCAGACCTTTTCAATGAAAAGAGGGGTAGCCTCATGGGTGTACAAAGACTCGTGTCCTAGCCTCAGCAGTGCATTTTTAGAGGGTGATGCATATTTGCAATGTCTTACATGAAAAGGCTGCCTTCCTTCTCATGGTAAGAGTGACCTTCCTGGCACAGGAGAACAGTAATTTACGAACACAGGATGGACAATCGTTTTCTTTAGTGTTTCTTTAAAAGAATAGCTGGTCTGGTCAGATTGTCAAACGGCAACCTTTTTACTTCTCTTAAGCTACGCAATGCATAAAATCGATTGACTTAAGTGTGCCACCATGAGACAACTTTACCATCATTAAAATTAGAAGCTATGATGTGACTTATGACTCTTCCATCTAATTGAGAATATTTATGTGTATAGTAACACATGATCAAGCACTGACCTTTCAGCAAGCTCATTTTGCACAAAGTGATTTTAAAATACAGGCCGAGACATATTAGCGTAAAACAAAATGCCAAAAAGAAAGAAAACAAGGAGCCGTGAAGGGTGAAGCGATTGCTTCCATACGATTTTGCGCACTTAGAGGAGCTGAAGAGAGCAATAGCTATGCTTTGCTTGGAGTCTGCCCTCCGGAAGTCTTGTACCCACAAAATGCAGGCGAGTTTTACTAGCAAAGTAGGCCACCTTTTGGCAGCTGGCTTCCCTTTGTCGGTCATCAATGCTGTGGCCAAGTTGATTCTGCAAAAAATCAAGCTCGGAGCACAAAGGGTTGGAGCAAAGGTTCAGCAATATAAATGGAAACCTGAAAAGATACCATATTCACACAAGGTGTCTCAGAACCTTAAAAAGGTTGCATACCGTCACGATATTCCCTTTGTGTTTTCTGCCCCCAACAAGCTTTCTAAGCTGTGTCCTTGTGTGCTGCGAAAGTAGATGAGGCTGCCGTATTAGACACGAAACGTTAAAATGCTCCAAAGAAGTGCTTTATTTTATTCCCCTGTCCTGCGGACGAATTTATATCAGACAAACTGAATGTTGCATGAACGACTGATAAAAATAAACACGTTTAAAAATATAAATGAGATAAGGGCATGCATATAGTAACGCACAACACTGCATGTTGTACTGCTAGATTTTTGGACACATCCACTCCGGGAAGAAGCAGTAATGCTTTTTTGAGACTTGCTTTGCATGCTTATTTAACAAAGATTGATGCATGAGTGAACCGTCCTTTGCTTTTCAGGACCCCGCATTTGAATTTAACTGCAACCCCGCATTTGAATTTAACTGCAATCACCTCTGATATACACAGGTTGGTTATACATTTATACGTTTGTGTGACAAAAGGATCTACAGTAGACTCGTTAAACGGAAGCTGAAGGTATCAGAAAGTTATGTTCCATATAACAGCAGTATCATTTACTGAGAGATGAACAAGGCTGCAGAATACAATCACAAAACCAATCTTGTCAGAAGTACTTGTTCCATTTGAGCAGCAGTTCCGTTTAACAGATTTTCCTTTACTAAGAGTCTACTGTATATGCGAAATCATTCCCTGCTAATAAACAGTTGTGATTAGTGCGTGTCATCGTCTTTGCACTAATATGTCTCAGCCAGTTATGCAACACCAACTAGCCTGGCAATGAACTCTTTTAAAATTTTAAATTCAATGTGTAAATACTGTTTAAAGTGAACATGACAGTGAAATGCTTCTCAGGAATTGTATGATGCTAAGTGATGCACAGGGAGTGTTCTTTCTAGTTTAACTGAAATGTCCTGCATTTGCATTACACGTAAAGTAAATCCAAATATTGTGGGTTCAGACCTAACAGGTGATAGGTTTTGTTTCTGTCTACTTCAATTCATTTTCTTTTATGACATAACTACAACAGTTCAGTTAAAAACTACAATCCGTAAGCTTTCCCTTGCATTCCCTTCTTTAATTTTCAGGAATGGAGTAATCCAAGGTTCCTTTGCTTAGAACTACACATGGAAAAAGAAATTATGAAAAAGTGTTTTAACACTGCGAATCAATGCAAACTGCAATAAAAAATAAAATTACTTGCTTTACCCTGTTACATGAAGCTGGTCTAATAGATTTCCCTGTGTAACAAGCTAAAGATATAAGTAAGATGAAACACTTATTACCACATCTCTTACAGGACTAACAAACGTCCTTAGGACATTACAATTTTTTTTCAACTCAAAAGCTGTGCTGGTAGCCATTGCAAGGCCAAATCACAACTTGCACCACATTTTCACTACTGTGAGCAACAGAACTAAAATCCGACACTAATGCAAAGCTTAAAAAGAAAAAAGAACAATGCAATAAGTAGGAACTTGTGCAAGCAATGGTGTAACAGTTCTTGGCATTTATAATTTGTGGTTTTAACATAAAAGAATCAATGGAAGCATGCTTACAACAGAAAAGAGTCATCAGTGTATATAGCTGTAAGCCTGAGTTCCAATTCAAATAACACAACGAACTCTAGATAAAGCATCCACCAGGCACCCAAGCAATTCTTACTTTTGCATCCATTTAGACTGTTGTTCATTTCTGTATTAGTATTGATACATTCGAACTGAAGTATTTGCTGTGGTACGGAATAGTCACCCCTAACGACTTTTCTTTCATACTGCGGGTACTATAGAAGAGATATTTTTACCAGCGCAAAAAGACTCAACGCTCAAGGACATACATACACACATAAATAGCACTGTGTGTGTTTCTTAAGTGTTTCGTCTTTTTGCACTGGTAAATTGTTCTTGATTGATTGATATGTGGGGTTTAACATCCCAAAACCACCATATGATTATGAGAGATGCCGTAGTGGAGGGCAACACAAAGCAGGGCACCGATTAGTCAACAGTTGTGAACACAGCTTAAAGACAATTTTTAACCACAAATATGCAAAGCAGGAGTTAACTTCACCTGGCATTGAATTTCACAACTGAGCAATTTCTCGCATTGAATTTCCCAACTGAGTGATTTCCCAACATTAAATGTAAGCAAATTTGTTCTATGAAAGATAATAAACCAGCATGAATGTTATTTTACAAATATCACTATCAGATTAAGTGATGAGCAGACATATTTCTTGATACAATGGAAAAAGAAAAGTTGATTAAATGAACAAGTTGTGTACATAAAATTAAGTGCTCCAAAGAAATTTCAGAGGACTTCCACACAAAAGTAGACAGCTGAAAAGAAAATGCAACAAAATGCTTCCAAAGCCGTGCCCATGATTCGAATCATGGTTGAAAATTGCAATGACAAAATTCACTAAGTAATAGAAGACAAAACTGGTCTATGTAAAATATAACCACCTCAACCAGACATCAGAGGCAGCTGAATTATAAAGGCATATAAACTGGAAATAAAAAATCGGCGTGCAAGGCAATACAAAGCACAGAACACAGAACATAACCATTTAAAAGTATACACCATACTTTCCAGTCGATGTGCTATGCTTCACCTTCATATTTCTTTTACTCCTGCCATCAGTGTAGATGTGTCAAACAACTGCTGCAAAAAACACCTTTTTTTGATGAAATTGACAATTCTGGCATTGTAAAGATAAAAAGACAATAAAATGTTTGCAGCTTACTTTAACTGCCTCATTTTTAACTACTGCATCATTTATGTGTCACTTCTGTCAACAGCACTCGTATGCATGTCTATCTGATGCCACCAGTTAGTCAATCTCAAGAAATAAAAAATACACCATCTAGTGGCAGCAAAGTATGCCATACAACAAAATATCAATTTTCTCACTTTTTTACATGAGATTCTTCCACTTTTAGAAACGCAAGAACAATGCTCAGTACAGAACATCTATCAAACCAGTCAAGCCCAGAAGGTATTGTAAGCACATGCTCAGGCTTGTAGAGAGAACACTTGATTGAGTTGCTGGGTCACTCTGATAAAGGTCGTTCGACGTGTGAGCTCCTTGAGCCGGCCAGCCCCAGTATAGGTGCAAGCCGAACGTAGACCACCCAGGATATCGAGCACAGTCGCCTGGACATCACCACGATATGGCACCTGCACGGTCTTTCCCTCAGATGCCCTGTATCAAAGCGAAACCAGTTTACAACAAAATAGTGCAGAGAAAAGAAAGTGCTCGTTCAAAGGACGTTAATACAAGCTTTAAAGAAAACTCCAATCAGATTAAATCAATTATTCCTGCCAGCAACAGCCACAGTGTCTAAGAGGGAAATAAAAAAATGCAAGCAAGTAAAATCTTCACATGAACATTCGCCTCAGCACTCATGTACCAAAATAAGAAAAGCAACTTAGAATCCACTAAACGTAGACTCTCAAAGTGCTAGTCATAAAAAAATGTAGGAGTAATGTTTTATGATACTTGAAGCCATTTCCCTGCTGCTTCATTTACTACTTGGTACACCAGCAAATTTCCGAATTAGCAACTTATTTACAGTTATGATCTTCAAGGGTTTATAATCTATCAGTGCAATAAAAAAATGCATAGACCACATTCTCACGATGATGCCGGAAAAGTTTATGAACTTGTGTTTCATGTGACATCCGCAATTTCAAATGAAAGGCAGCGCACGCTTCCTGGACGAGACAATCCCACTTCCTAGTAAAGACAAGAACGAGGGCATAAATGCCTCTGACAAATATACTGCATGCAACAGTATTCATTATGACTTGCAACATGAGTAATTCATTAAATGCTGCAGAGGTCACTTGTTTAATACATTTTGCTCTACTATAGCCAGTTACCACTTTAGAAAGCAGCAGTATTTCCACATCAAAGAATGACACTCCAGAATGACATGAGCCCAATAGCTCATGTCATTGCCATTGATTGATGTGTGGTATAGCAGACGATGTTCAGCACTGTAAAAGCCATGAGGTTATCTGTTTCTCTTGAGTCAGTGGCATTCCCATCTTGAGAGCTTCAACAAAACAGTAATAAAGACATAAATTATATATTATAGTCATATTTACACCTAGAAATTCAAGTTATAGAAGCGTGACATTTTTTTTATTGCAATAGCAATTAAATTGAACATCTCGGCTGGTTTATATAGGGAAAGAAGTGTGTACTTAAGGGCTCATTTTTCCATGTTTGACACAATATTAATGAGATCTAACAGACACTGATGCCAAGGAAAGTATAGGGGAAGTTATGAACTTGTGGCTTGATATATTATAGACCATAACTACTTCTATACTTTCCTTGGCATCAGTGTCTGTTAGATCTCATATATCTATATATATATATATATATATATATATATATATATATATATATATATATATTGTAGCGAAGCTTCCGAACACTGAAATGGGTCAAACTGGTAAGTGTTCTGTGGGTCAAACTCTAGTGTACCTTCTAGTGGGGCTACCCAACAAGGACGCTGTTCGCGCTAGGAGTCCGTGCTTGACCGTCACTGTCGCCATAGCGTATGATCGCTGGTTGCCGGCTAATAAACGCCTTAACAAATTGGTGGAGAGTGCTGCGTTCTCTTTCGATGCCCTTGGAGCTTCGATCACGTACCCTGCCACCTACCATGCCCCACGACGCCTCTCAGTAAACGACTCCTCCCATGCCACCCCCTTGTCCCGGTGTCCCCAGGATCCGCGATCCACCCATCTTCGTTGGCGCCGATGGCATTGATGTGGAGGACTGGCTCGCCATTTATGAGCGCGTGAGCGTCCCCAACAAATGGGACACGGACGGCAAGTTGACGAACTTGGTGTTCTACCTCGCGGGCGTAGCCAGTTTGTGGTACAACAACCACGCGTCTGATTTTGCAACCTACCCCTCCATTCCTGACAACCTTACGTCAGTACAGCGTTCCCAGCTTCTCGACACGTTGCAAGAATATCCTTCTTCTTTCAATGTCAGGCAAAGTTCTCTTGGTCGCACGTCCGCTCTTACGCATCGCATCGACACTGGTGCCCATCTACCATTACGGCAACATCCATATCGCGTGTCGCCTGCTGAACGTCGGGTAATTAACGAGCAGGTTGACGATATGCTCTGACGTGACGTTATTCAGCCCTCGGACAGTCAACGGGAGTTTCCGGTTGTTCTTGTTACGAAGAAAGACGGCTCTGTCTGGTTCTGTGTGGACTACAGACGGCTCAATAAGATCACTCGCAAGAATGTTTATCCACTCCCATGCATCGATAACACGGTTGACAGCTTTCATGGAGCCGAATTATTCTCTCAATCTGTGCTCGGGGTACTGGGAAGTACCCATGGCTGACGGGGGTATGGGAAGTACCCACGGCTGACGACACTTGACCGAAGACTGCCTTCGTCACAACCGACGGCTTGTACGAATTCAACGTCATGCCGTTTGGTCCAATGCCCCTGTGACCTTTGAGCGCATGATGGACACCATTCTGCACAACTTGAAATGGCACACGTGCTTGTGTTACCTCGACGATGTCGTTGTCATCGCTCCAGATTTCTCCACTCATCTCCAACATCTGGAAAAAGTTTTCGCACGTGCGAGCAATGCTGGCTTGCAACTAAATCTGAAGAAGTGCTGCATTACAGCATGGCAACTCACCATCCGAAGGTATTTTGTGTCCAAGGACCGCATTCTTCCTGATCCGGCCAAGCTTCGAGCCGTGGCCGAATTCCCCAAACCTGCGTCCATCAAAGAACTGCGTAGTTTTGTGGGCCTGGGCTCACACTTCCGACGCTTCATACGAAACTTTGCCACTATCATATCACCGCTGACGAGGCTCCTTGGAAGTAACGGGCCCTTCAATTCGTGGTCATCCGAGTGCGATGGCGCGTTCGCAAAGCTCCAACATTTGTTGGCGTCTCTTCTTATTCTACGCCACAACGACCCTACGGCCCCAACAGAGGTGCACACGGACGCCAGCGGTGTAGGCCTCAGCGCTGTCCTGGCACAGCGCAAGCCCGAATCCCCTAAATATGTCGTGGCATATGCAAACCATACGCTCACAAGAGCCACGACAAACTACACCATCACGGAAAAAAAAGTGCCTGGCACTCATCTGGGCCCTTACAAAGTTTCAACCTCATGTGTATGATCGCCCATTCGATGTCACCGACCATCATGCACTATGCTGGCTGTCATCACTGAAGAATCCCTCAGGCTTTCTCGCCCGTTGATCTGTTCGCTTACAAGACTACATCCGCGTGCTGTACCGCAACGGACGCCAGCATGCTGACGCCGACGCCCTCTCGCGCTCCCCTCTGCCTGAAGACGACGTGCCCTGCTCAGTATCCTCAATCGCTGTATCTGCCATCGAAGTTGACATTCTCGCTACCGAACAGCGAAAGGATAATTGGGTTGCCTCGCTAATTGACTTGCTCTCTGATCTGTCGGCAACACCATCCACGTGTGCTTTGCGTCGTCAAGCTCATATTTCGCCATCCGTGACGGCCTCCTACACCGATGCAATTACGACACTGATGGCCGGCAGTGGTTACTCGTGGTACCCCGCAGTCTACGGTCGGAGATGTGCGAATCTTTCCATTCTGATCCGCAATGCACGCACTCTGGGGTATCTAAAACTTGCCACCACATTCGACAATGCTACTTCAAGCGCGGGATGTACCGCTACGCGCAGCAGTTCGTTCGCTCTTGCCTTGCTTGCCAAAACGCCGCAAACCATCAGCACACATGTCGCCAGCCGGTCTGAAACTGTTACCTTGCCCTGACTGTCCGTTTGCGCACCAAGGTATTGATTTGTATAGACCACTTCCTCTGACGTCGACTTGTAACCACAGGGCCATCGTCGCCGCAGACCATTTAACGCGATGCGCCGAAACCACCGCTCTCCCTGCGGCTACTGCACGCGATCTTCCGTCCTTCCTGCCGCATCGATTCATACTGCGCCACGGTCCACCCCAGGAGCTTCTCAGCGATTGAGGCCGTGTCTTCTTGTGAGAAGTCGTCAAAACCATTCTCACGGAGTGCCATTCTGTCCACCACAAACTACTGCTTACCACCTGCAGACGAATAGCCTCACCGAACAGTTTACCGCACCCTCGGCGACATGCTTTCGATGTACGTCGCCAAAAACCATACAAATTGGGATAATATATGATATACTGCCCTTCGACACCTATGCCTACAACACCGCCCCTCATAGCACGACCGGTTTTTCACCTTTCTTCTTGCTGTATGGAAGGCACCCGTCGCACACCATCGACACGATACTCCCGTACACACCTGATTTATGTGAGTGTGCACCTATATCTGAGACAACCAGGCTTGCTGAAGAGTGTCGAGAGCGTGCCAAGACTTTTAAGACGCACGAGCAAGAGCGGCAGAAGAGTATTCGCGATGGCTCCGCCACTTCTGAGCCCACGTTCCTTCCTGGTGCACTCGTATGGTTCTCAATCCAGACCCCTGTAGCTCGCCTCTCTTCCAAACTACTCCTGAAATACGAAGGCCCCTTCCGTGTCATCGAGCACAGATTTTCAGTCAACTATCTGATCGAGCCAATTGAACAATCTTCGGACATGCGCTGTCGCGGGCACGACAAAGTCAACGTGGAGCGCCTGAAGGCTTACTATGACCCGCACATAGTAACAAGCTGTTCTGTCGCCAGGCGGCTCCCTCTTCGACCCCGGGGTAATTGCAGCGAAGCCTTCGAACTCTGAAATGAGTCGAACGCTCAAATACTTTCTAGTGAGGCTACCCAAAAGCGGACGCCGCTCGCACTGTGAGTCCATGCTTGGCCATGACTATCGCCATAGCAAATGATCGCTAGTTACCGGCTAATAAACGCCTTGAGTGTGTGTGTATGTGAATGATGGCGGCGGCCAAAACCACTTGAGACTGTCCATATAATTGCCATTGCAATAAAAAGAAATGTCATGCTTCTATAACTTGTCTTTCACGTATATGTATCAGCCAGATTAACTTTATTTGTGTCCTGAGAAGAAGGTTCCTAAGAAACCACCAAGGGCTGCATCCGCGACGGGATCGAGGACCAGAGGTTCCCGATTGCTTCTCAGGATCCCTGAACCGCCCAGAGTTGTTTCGCAAGGTGTGGACTTGCGATACATTCTAAGAAGTCTGTCTCATTTATGTGATGACT